ATGTCCTTCCTATTCTTTGGAAGGTTATTCTTGAGCTCATTATGTGCTATACACATCATTTTATAGGTCATTAAAAACCCAATAAGTTCTTCAAGCAAAAAAGTTATTTAAGTTCTTTGCTTCTTATATTTGTTGAATCTCGGATTTTGATGATGAAACCAATTGATAAGTGTTTATGATTTAATATGTGTTTTGAGGGACGCAGGAAGTTTCCATTAGGATGAGATAATTAAAGCACGAAGAATCATGTTGGGCCGGTGGAACATGTCAAAAGATTAGACGTTGAGCCATAGGATCGGTCGACATATCGATAGAATGCTTCGGGCCATGGATTCAAGCATCGGGCCAAGAAGAGCGGATATTGCGCTAAGGATATCGGTATTATGGAGGTCAACTGGCCGATTAGGCAATAGGCCGTAAGAGATGACGATACATCAAAGAATCGAACGAAGCATCGATGAACCAATGACATGCCGGACAACATTATTCAAGCTTTATAATAATTGTCTAGATCAAAGTTGGTTTTTATGTATGTAGGATTAACTACGATAGCAAGGTATAAAGCAAAATGAAGTCCCGGAGTTAAGAACGTGATTTCGTTGGGAGTTCGAGAGTTTGTCGGAAGTCCGGACGTTCTATAATATCCCTCATGTTTGAAAATTTAGTAAATGCTTGTTTGTAAATATGAGGATTATTTAATAATTTTTTATATTAAATAATATTATATATTAAAAGTTTATGGCTAGGGACCAAAGAGTAAATATTAGAAATTTGATATGATTTATGCAAGATTCAAATTTAAGTTATAAAAAAAAAATGGTGGACATGTGTCACTAGATAACATAAGGTTGATGCCACTTATGTTTGTTCTAAAGATGACACCTAGTCACTAGATAACTTTTGCATAAGCCCAAACTCAAATAATTAGATGAAAGGTTAAAGAAAACAAAACTTAAGGGCTGCAGCCAACGTGAGTTTGAGAAGAGGAGAAGAAGAAGAAGAGTTTGAAGTTTTTTATTAATTTTCTCACATTTGGGATTCAAACTATTTTAAGGCAAGTGTTCTAACCCCATCCCATAGTAATCCTAATCTTTATTTTTATTTTAATTCTACATAAATTTGAAAGATTTCAACTGAGTACTATACATTTCTTTCGTTTTGATACAAAGCTATGAATCTATAATTTTTTGATAATCTAACCTCTACATACTGTTTTAGACCTTACTTTTAGCACTAAACTCTGATTTAGGTAAAGCCTAATCCATTTAAAAGTAAACTCAAATATCTTTATTTTAATATTGAGGTTGAATGATTTGGAGTTTAAATGTCTATCAAGACTTCTGTTTCAATTAACCCTATAGATTCTACAAAATAGGGACTGTAATTTCTGACCTCTTTTTGCTTAACTACTTATACTTTATGCTGGGAACTCAGATTCATGCAAAGTATGATTTATTCGAAGCTAGACTCAAAATTCTTTCTATATGTACCTGATTTGAAATTTTTGGAATACAAATGCAAATTAAAAATATCTGTTTTCATTGATCCCGTGGATTCAGTAAAACAGAGCTAATATTTTCATATCTTTCGCTACGAAATTATTTGTAACTCCATGTAACTAACTCAAATTCATGCAGAACTTGATTTACCTAAAACTAGATTGACACATCTTTTGAATGATATTATTTTGTATAAATTGGACCTTAAATGGTTATCTAAATAATTGATAGAATGTGCCTCTCAAATTCTACCAGAATCGAGCTTTGGTCGATTTTGCCTCTTTTTGTTTCTTCTCTTTGGAAATCGATTTCAGCAAAAACTCTTACTTCAGTTGAGCTTTACATTATTGCCTTAAAATTTTATATGCTCTTGTCCTTTATTTATTTATACATATGATTTTATTATGTAAAGTTCATATATGTATCATAATGTTTCGTATTAGGCATATGCATTTCATTGTTCTACATGTGTTTCACCTTAAATTCGCCTCTTCTTGTTTCTTCTCTTTGGAAATCAATTTCGACAAAAATCCTTACTTCAGTTGGGCTTTACATTATCATAATGTTCATGTTTGTATCGCAATGTTTCGTATAGGCATATGCATTCTGTTGTTCTGCATGTGTTTCCGATATATCCTAATTTTATTTTTCAGTCTCGTAGTTAGTCCTATATCACTTTTTTCAATACATCGATTAGATTACTAATTCATCAATTGATTTCATCATCAAAATATGAATTAAACTAATTTGATTATAATAAAAATAAAATATTTAATAAAATAAAAATATATGATTAGAATATAACCAGAAATTGCAGATCAACAAGAGACGAATTAGAGAAACAAAAAAAAGGTAAGAAAACGGACTCCTCAAACATTAAATGATAAAGAAAAACACTAAAAACCCGTAAAAGCATGAATGTTAAAGCCGCCTTTAACGGGAACGAAAAATACTAATTATAAACTCTTAATGCTTTTTATTAAGAAAATAAAAATGCAATAAAAAATTAGTTATCATAAAAATAACTAAAATTTTGAGCCAAGAGCTAATCGGAGAAGCAAAACATTTACAGAGTTGATTGCGTGGTCTCCTTTCTTCCTTCCTCTCTCCTCTTTGATATATTTCCTCCTGCCAAAAACTGTCCTAGAACAACTCATGTTGAGTTACTTCTACAAACACAAGCTCCACGTTACATTGTGAATCGAAAAAAGAAGAGGAAAAATTAGAATAATCTTTAGAGAAAATTATATGATATCTGCATGTCCATCTCTAATCTGGATTAAACAAAACCCAGCGAGTGATTGTGGTGGAAGCAATTATAAAATCCATCTGTAATCTGCCATCTCTCATCTAATTAATTAACGTAGGAACAAGCAGAGAATTCTGTATTAATCCAGCATAAATACTAAAAAAAAAGTAATCAAAAATAATTTTGATAATTTTTTTTTTTCAAAAGATAAATAGTGAAGGTGAGATTTAGGACTTTGCGGTAAATTGTCAAAATTTTTATCAACTAAGTTAGTAGACATGTTTAAAAAAATATAATTTATAATTTAATTAACATGCTATAAATCCAAATTTGGTTCGAGTATATATAGATATTTCCTACAAAATAGAAATGTTACATTGAAATATCAAATTATATTAATGTGCTATAATATAATTTTTTCACACAAATATTTTTATCATCATTAGCATTTCCCCTTGATCATGATTGATATCATTAGTTTCTTTTAGAAATGACAAATGAGCTAATTATTTTTAATCTTAGCAAAAATATCCACTCCACATATATGTATATCTCAAAATTATACAGAATTTCTTTTAAAATTAAAATTTCTAAAGATTTCCTTTCAAAAATTTATAGATTAATGTTTAGATATATTTTGAAACTACATGTAGAAATAGTATCATAATGATTTGATCTTGCCATCGAGGTTCTTAATATTATTAGTTCTTAATCGAACTACCATAAACTTTTTAATAACACAATTAAAATTTCTAAAAGAATAATTTCATAAAATTAAAATTGGATGATTTTACAAAAAAGTTTTTTTTTTTTTGTATTTTCGGAGGTGCTCTTTTTCAAATTTCTTAAGTGGTGCCCACCTTTCCATCATCCCGAAATATTTTCACCTTTTTTTTCCAAACACATTAATTTAAAAATAATAATTTTAATAAATTTATAATATTTTTAAAACTTTCATCAAAACATTATAATTCTATTAAAAAATATTATAATTAAAATAAATTGACTCAAAACCCAATAAAAACTAACATAAAAAACAGGGTTTCAAATAATTATTTTTATGGGTTTAAAAATAAGAACAACCAAATATGAATGCTACAATATTAGTTATATTATTTTTGAATAAATTTATCCTATTTTTAGTATCTCCATCCAAATCATACAAGTCTATTCAAAGATATTATAACTGAAATAAATAAACTCAAAAACCGAAAAAAAATCAACTCATATATATATTTTAAATATATATCTTTATTTAAAAATAAAAATAAATAAATAAAATTATAAAATAGTATAAATTTATTTAAAAATATTATAACTCATATATCGGTCTAAAATTGATGGACTGATTCAACGGACGTAGATCCTCCTCTCCCCATCCCTCTTTCACTTCCTCCGTTCTACTAGTTAAATCAAAAGATTGGGAAATAGCAATTGAGTAGAAATTTCAAATCAAATAAAGCCCGAGAACCGTTGCTGTCATTTCATTTTATTTGGTGTCAACCCTCATACATGCTGTTTTGCTTAACCTGTGAGTCACGTCCTCTTTGAACAGGCTTCCACATCATAGCCTACGACGGTCTTCTCTGAAGAGGCTTCCACCATCATAGCCTATGTCTTCAGTTGAAAGTTCTCTCTTTTGCCCTTGATCGTTCCGAAGCCCTGTAGCTCTTTTATCTTTTCGTGTTGCCAATGTTGATCAAATCCTACGGAGAGCAACGGGAAATGCATATCAAGTAAAGTAGTGTTATTGTGTTATATCAGGCGTATTTTGAAAATCATGAAAAGAGTGGATACCCTTTGGTAAATATAAAAAAATATTTTTGAAAATAATTATTAAAGTTTGCTATTGATAATCCTATTATTATTATTATTATTAGTAAATTTTTTAAAAATAAGATATAATTTTATTATTTATAACTCTTCGATACTAATTTTATTTTTTTATTTTCTATAATCTCTGAGCATTGCTCATTGCTCTTATTTTATCATCATTCGATGCTCACTTGACGTTCGACACTCGACGGTCGACGCTCGACGGACGATCGATGCCTCTCATGATTAGAAGAAAAAAAAATAAAAATAAAAATATTTACATCAAGCTATATTAGGAATATTAAAAATGGGTTCGTCGATTAAAATGTTAAGAGATATATTCCGAAGAAAAGCTTCCCGTGATGAGTCCAACAACAATTACTAATTGCTCAGTGGCATATTGGTAATTTAGCACTGGCAGAAGAGATATATACCTGAACGGCCACCGTGAGTCTCACTGGGGCTATCGGTTCTCGTTAGGGTTTTGCAGCGGCCCGCCGGTTTTTTTCTCTTTCCGATCCGATCTCAATGACTGCCCAAACGCAAGAAGAACTCCTCGCTGCTCATCTCGAGCAACAAAAGATCGACGTGAGCCTTCAAATCTAAACCCTTGTCCCCATGCTGTTCCTAAATTGATGTCTCTTTCTTTTTTTTGTTTTTCGTTTCTGCTCTTTGAACCTACTTTTTTGTTCACTTCTCATGTTTGAAATGTTAAAGATGTGATCTTTTTTTAATCTTGCTTTGAAAACTTCTTTGAGTTAAGGCGTGGGCCTTTTATTTTTGGGGTCAGTGTTTGAAATTCCTTTTTGCTGTATTCTGGTGATTTATGCGTTTTGAATTGAGTGTTCGTTTTAATCTTGTGTTTAACACGTTAAAAATGCGATCTTTTGTGATCGTGTTTTGGAAAATGTTTTCGATTCGTGTGAGATTTTTATGGGCCAGTTAATGATTCTGTTCGTTTTTCTGTTTTCTTCTATCAATTTCTGCGCGATGAACTGAGTTTCTGTTACGACTTAAGTGTTTGGAACGCTAAAGATATGATCTTTGACATCTTACTCCTGAATATTGCTTTGATATCAGTATGTAGGCGTGAGATTCTTATGGGTCTGTGGTGATATGTGGTTGAACTGGCACTTCAGCAAGGAAAAATGTCTATTTTCTGAGAGATTAAACTGATTCAAATGCGTTCGATTTCTTAATCTGACATCTCGTGTTGTCCTATGTTACGTTAGGAGGCTTTTAAAGAATCAATGAAGCTACGTAAAATAAATGTTACTTTAAGATAATTCTCATGACATATTCAAGGTGGATATCATCAAGAAACAAATTGTAGCAAGAATACTGCTAGGAACATATTAAGTTCCACGGTTTGTCTATAGGTTTGATCATATCATGTTTCAGTTGAGGTATTAGAAGAAAGTATTATGTGGGAGATTTTTTTTTGTTTGGTGTAGCAATGCTTGTTCTGTTATATAAGTGGTTTCCTCCAATGATTTGGTTAAGTAATGTAGGAATTGCATATTTAAATGAAAAAAAGTATGGCCCGGGAAACACCATCAGTTCTGGACTTTTCATAAATATATGATTGTAGTAAACAATTTTTTAGCAGGGGAATTTATTTTATTGCTGATCCAGGCTGCCAGTGATATTTGGTGCCTGGAGGTTTTTTTATGTGAGGGTTTGTGCAATACGTTTGGATGTTATCTAGTTGTTATGTGGCAATGACAGACTTCCAGATGAGTTCTAATTGATAGGTACATTGTCTGAAATGGTCTTTTGAGGGAGTGATTCTCTAAATTTGTCAATGATATCCTAATTTTTATTCTGGTGTAGGTTTGGTAACTTGTATGGTGAAATAATGTGATCTTTTCATGGGGTTTCATGGTGGTCAGGTGATTCTTAAATTTTGCCAAAATAAGACACTTGATACCCTTTCATGGTTCTACTTGTCCGTGGAATTGAACTTTTCTGTGAATGCGCCTGTCATAGTTAAAACAGGATATAAGATCATTAATTGTTCATAACAGATCCTTGTATTTTGTACAACATTGCTTTCATCAGAGTATTATCCTGTTGATGCCCTGCTGTAAGGATTATGTTGATTAAGCAATTGTCCATATCCCATAGATCATATCGTGTCAGGATTTGTGTCTCAGCTGTTATTTAGGTTTGTATTGATATTGGTCATCTATCTGCTAGTTAAATTCTGAAATTTGGATCACTATTTTGTCCGTCATGAGGAACTATCATATACTGTTCTCTGTCTCAGCCCTTAGCTTGATTTGTATTGATATTATCTTCTGGTACCAAATATTTTGATATTATATCTCATTTGTTGGTCTTCTATATTGACCTACATATGTATTATCTCCAGCGAGATTAGCCTTATCAAGGGCATCCTTACAGAATAGTAAGACCTAAGGTTACACATATAGATTGTAGATGGATCGACTCGAGTAATTTCTTAAGGTCTCTTATAAACTGGGTTGGGGCTCATTCTGAAATCTATGGTAGTAGTGCAGAAAACACAATTTAAGACATGCTAATATGCCAATCAGCAATACTGGCTGCCTGTTAAGCTTCTCTTTAAGCATCAGGGAAGTTAGTTCTGCTGCTTCTATTATGCAACCATTACTAAAGTCTATTTTTTTGTTTCTATTCATCTGCTAGTATTCATATGAAGATGTTTTGTACTGAATATAATGTTTGCCATTTATTTTACCGGTTTGCATCTAGTTCTATAAAATGATCAAGAGGGATGTGTTCCCTTTTGATCTGTTGACTCGTGTCAAGGATTGAGGGTTGTATTGGGTGTTGTACCATTCTATCCTTTGTATATACGGATATACAACTTTATTGAGAATATATTTGAAACATTAGTTTGTAAAAGCTCAGGCTATGAGAAATTATGTTTTTCTGCTCTATAATTTCTGCATTAAATACTGGTGTTTATTGACTTGAAAGTATTTAAAGATTGATACCTGGTCCACCCGATAGTTCTTTATTTGTGGAATTTCTAATTCAGAAATATATGTTAGATAGGCATCGGTGTAATTAAACATCAAATTGAAAAGAAAATTTAAGCAGTTGCTAAAATTTACTAACTGGTTCTTTATAGTATTCTGTCATATGATCCTAGATCTAAAACTAATGTACTTTACCTGTTGTTTATTGCCTTGTATTTTCTCTCTTATGTTCTATTGATCAGCTCAATATATTGTATTGTATCTGAATCAATATTTGAATAAAAAATGTGCATTTATCTAATATAAGTTTTTTCTTTGAAGCCCGATGAACCTGTCGTTGAAGATGACGAAGAGGAGGATGATGATGATGATGAAGATGATGACAAAGATGATGCTGAAGGTATGCCTGCTTTCTGTATTATCTCTGAGAACTTTTGAGAAGACTATGGTGTATTTTAGACAAAGTTATATCTTTAATATAATGAGGGGTATTTTTGTTCTTTTCTTTTTCTTGTTAAATAAATAATGGTTAAGTTAAAGTTTGGGCCGTA